ATAGTATATGAAGGTTCGGTGTATTAAGATAGTCTGGGTGTGAAAAAAGTTTATTAAATGCCAGATTTATAATTTTCAGTTGATTCACAGATTTAAATATATCTTTTGGAAGCTTGATCAAATTATTTCTGGATAAATCTAATTGTTCAAGTTTCTTTAAGGGTTGAAATAAACGTCTACCGTGTGTTAAGATGAAGTCATTATCCAAAAAACAATCAGCCAGTCTCAAGTGTATCACATTAGGAAAAGTGTCAAAAAATGTTTTAATGAAAACGTTGGCATCATTTCCACTAAAATCCAAGGTATTCACATTTTCCAATCCTCTTAAAGTTACGTTAAAACCATAGATTCCAATTAAAGATAGGTTAAAGTATCTTAGATTATGTGCATTTTCAAATGTTATATTTATAAGACGACCCATTCTATAGATACCCCCACCTAAATTAAGGTGTTTTAATTTTTTTGGCATGAAAAAAATTATATCTTTCAAAGACTGTGCGTCATTATATGTCGAATAAGTTGTAGTAAACGAATACGCATATCTACGGTTATATATTAACTGTCCAGATATATCAAGATACTCGAGATTTTCCATAAAAGCTAACAGGAAGAGTTCTGGTCTGATGTATGTACCTGAAATACGGTTATTAGATATATCTAAGTGTTTAACGGACATTCTAAAACAAGGGAACATGATGTGTCCTGATTTAATTTGAAGTAAAATGTTTAAAGTATTAAAAATACTCATGTCTCCATTACATAAAATAAGTTTTTCAACACAAATATTACCTAATATTTTCAAAGATATTATAGTCAGACCTTCTACAACCAATCGCGAATCTGTACCAGGAAAGGAGAGATCGATCTCTGTCATATATTTGTTCATATAAAATCGCAATGAACGTATTACTTCAGGCAATCCAACTTTTATTGGAAAGTTTCCCGATTTGAACAAAAAAGTCTTCAAATCTTCTAAAGGTTTCAGAAAGCCATCCTGAATATCAAGAGCTGTACACCCTGAGAGATCAAGAACTTCAACTCCAAGCTTAGATAATCCTTGAAAAGTATCATTATTAAAAAACTGTAGACCACACTCAAAACTGTCAATAGTTCCAATAACCAGTTGTTTGATTTTACGAAGATTGGTGACATTTAGGTCAAAAACTGTTTCCGATGCTGTATCAATTATGGCGGTTGTCAGATTTTTAAAGTTTTTCAAAATTTTAACCACTTTTACCTTATCATTAGTAACAGTTAACTTAGTTCTCATCGACAAATTGTGCAGATTTTGAATGGGTAAAAACACATCGGGATCAAACACTTGATAATCCAAAGAATGGTTGTTTAATTCTAACATCTGTAACTTTTCCAATCCTAAAAAAGCTTCCTCTTCTATATGAGAAATGGGATTAAAGCTGAGAATTAAACATACCAGATTGTCTAAATGTTGGAAATCTTTGTTTCTGATAGTGGTTATTTGGTTAAATGATAAATCCAATGTAGTAGTATTGATTGGAATATTTTCAGGAACATACGTGAGATTGTGATTCTTTAAATCCCAAAATATCCCTTCCTTATTACACAGATTATATGTTCTTATATAACTTGAGTACAGTATCACCAACGATATAGACCACAACATCGTGTTCAATGTAAAGTCATGTTCCAACTAGATCTTATAGTGAGTTGTTATATACATGGATTTATTAAATAGAATTGACTACAATTATATGACTCAAATTTTGTTCGTGACCTAAAGGGTCCTTCAAACCATATTTTAGTATACACAACAAACGTAATCGAAAGTTTTCTCGAATTTTCACATAACAATAAATACGTTGTTTACGTATGCGAATAAGAAAAAATTGTGATTTTTGGTGTTCTTGCTGCGCTGCTACTACGATGGGAAATTGGCTCGCCACGCCAGCAATTGTGCAATATTGTCTCTAATTTCGGCACTCTTTGCCGAATCACGCCGTTTATTTTGGATTTATTCAAAACAACCGCCAATGTTCGGCGATCTGTTCTGGAACGCATTAATAATACCATGGGATCGAGAATATCGTAAGACAAGCGTAAGACATCTCCTTGAGCGGTATAATAGCGTAGTACATGCGTGGCAGAGACGTTGCAAAAAAGTTAAAGACGCAATATGGCCACATCACTTGCGTTATGAGGTGGAATGTTTTGAAACTTGTAATATTCTGAGGACTTTTTCACTAGTTTTCCCTACGTTGACCGCGACCTATTACATTTCCAGTCGTAAATGGTGTGGCGGGTTTTTTAAGCCTGTAGAAAATAAATAATCCTTACATGCATAGCATAAACCATTTTGTCGTGTCGCCTGGTAACCAAACAAACATTATAAATACAAGAGAAATCTTTTGAAGCCCCAAACAAATGAAGATATTGCGACATACAATGCCTACTAATCCATACCAACTAAACTTTAACAAAAATCAACAGTTTTGTCAATAGTTGCTCTCACAATAAAGCATGAGCTGCGTGTGGTTGTGAATAGAAAATAGTGATCATAAATTTTGATCGCATCTAATACGTTTTATAGGCTTCAAACACGCAATAATCAAACAGGCTGACTTAAAAATCTAAAACTTCACAAAAGAAAAAAATTAAAATTAAACATTTTATTAAAGGTGTTATGTTAAAAATGTAATTATCTGGATTTTTTTTTATTGTATCATTGGTCAAAAGAATGGCGCAACTGCCCTTTTAAGATGATATACAATAAAATGGTGAAAAAAGATACACGTTATTACACGAACGAGAAAAATGATACAAAAAGTTTTGTATAATAGCATAATATATAATGTGGAAATTAATTTATTAATTTAGTTTTAAACGAACTAGCCTTATATTACTATCGTACACGTAACGAACATGCTACTCTTTTACTCTCCTATCTAAGTTACGTCCCTTCTGTCGCTACAGTTGACACTCAGCAGTCACGCGTCCACGAAGCTCCGCAGAGTTTTACCCCAATTTATGAGTGTGGTGAATAATTATAATTATAATTATACGAAGAAGACGAAACACGACAAGTTTTCTGTAGAACAGTGGGGTTATGCCAACCTGAACATTTTGAAGGACATGATTTCGAGTGGAGAATTGGACATCCCCGAAATTTTAGATTATTTAGACTATTCTATGGGAGTTTTTCGTCTATTTAACCGTCATATACGAGCTAGTGTACTCTTATATGACAAGGAATATAGAGACTTACAAGCCAGAATGAATTTCCCATGGGGCACTATTCGACAAGACCTTCATAACTTTCAGTTGCTTCCGAAACAGACTTTGGACAATCTTAACAGAACCATGAAACTAAGTAATTCTGATCAGGCTTCGCGTAGAATGATTCGTGGTCCTGTATCTCCAGAGGGAAAAGAAGTTTGCCTCAGGTTTAATAACGATAATTGTGAAAATGCCAAATGTAAATACGCGCATATTTGTTGCGTGTGCTTTGCTTCTTATGCTACCACTCATCATGTGTCAAAAAAGTAGAAACTTGTTACCCGAGGTCTAAGGTGTGCTTAGACCCTTTGGCTTGGGAATCCCTTCTTCCCCCTGATGATCTTGACAGGGCTTATATCATAGATGGAGTCACTGTTGGATTCGACATTTTTGATATTACTCCGGTTATTGATACCCCAGTTGTATGTAATAACTACTTTTCTGTTCATAATTCACGGGAACTTGTTGAAAAACAAATTTATGAGGAAATGTCCAATGGGAACTACATTGTTTTAGACCATAAGTCTGTTATCGTGAGTGCTTTGGGAGGTATTCCTAAGCCCTAAGCCGAATGGAAAGATCCGCTTGATACATGACGCTAGTAGACCTGTGGGTAACAATATGAATAGTTTTGTGACTGACACATCATGTACGTATATGGACCTCTCGGAGGCGAGAAAATATATTAAATGCGGATCGTTCCTTGCAAAAGTTGATTTGAAAAGTGCGTATAGATCAGTATACATCCATCCTACTAACTATAAGTATACTGACTTAAAGTGGTAATTCACCGGTGACGACAAAGTCACTTATTTATCTGATACAAAACTCCCGTTTGGGGCGGCAAAAAGTCCCCAAATATTCCAAAGGCTAAGCAGTGCCGTTTGTAGAATCACGTGGCAAAGATATCGTATACGTGTAATTTCATATCTAGATGATTTTCTCATCAAAGCGGACACCTACCAAATGTGCTCTGATGGGTTGCAGAAACTTATAATATTGCTGCGCAGGCTTGGCTTTAGTATCAACTGGAACAAGGTCGAGGGTCCTTCACAGCTTTTAGTTTTCCTTGGAATCCTCATTGATACTAATAATTACACTTTATCTTTACCGCAGTCTAAATTGGCTACGTTCACCGATTTACTTAAATCATTTTGTATTAAAAAACGTGCTACGAAGCTTCAATTGGAATCATTATGTGGCAAACTAAACTGGGCTACCGAGGTCATATGTGGTGGGCGAACATTTATGCGCAGAATATTGGATTTGAAGAAAGGTCTTATAAGGAAAAATCATAAAATCCTTTTGTCATACGATTTCTTTCATGATCTGAATTGGTGGTTTCAGTTTTTGAGCACATTTAACGGAACCATGCCTATAATCCCGTTCGATAAATCATATGTGACAGTACAAACCGATGCCTCAACTCCTGGTGCAGGTGCCTATCACCAGGGTGATTATTTTTACATTAACTGGCGTCTTGATATACCACACTGGTCAGATTGCCACATCAATGTTAAGGAAGTGTTAGCCATATATTATTCAGTGGTTCGCTGGGGATGCTTATGGAGAAACCGGCGTGTGCTGATATATACTGACAATGTGACGGCTAAAGCCTCTGTGAATAAAGGCACTTCCCCCAATTCGACAATTATGTTTTTACTTCGCCAGATGTTTTGGCTCTCCGCAATCCATAACTTCAATCTTCGTGCAATATTTATTCCGACGCATCGAAACGTAATTGCTGACGCCTGCTCTCGTCTTCACGAGAAAGGGAAGTTATCAACTTTATATGATCTGGTACCATCTTTGAAGTTTGAACTTTTTTCATATGAGAAACTTTGTAACCACATGTCTCCATCATTTATCCATTACAGATGGCCCAGTTCTTCGCAATGTGGTAAAGGAACTAAAAGACAAGGCGTGGGCTGAATCTACGAAGTTAACATACTCCACGCAACTTCATCTTTTCGAGTAGTTTTGTCACAAGCGTGGTCTTTCAACGGTGCCGTGTAGTTCGGACACTATTCAATTATATATAGCTTATATGGTTCATGAACGGAGGTTTAAATATGCTACTGTGACACAATATCTTAACATCGTAAACCAAATTCACCGCGCTGCTGGTTATGCAGATCCTATTTCTAATGACTGGAACATTCAATTTTTAATGCGAGGTGTCAAAAGAACATTAGGCACGGCTCAAAATCATGTTGATTCGATGAGTCCTATTATTTTACTCAAACTTTACTCAGTGTTGAATCTCTCTTTATTTGACCATTTAACCTTTTGGTGTATATGTTTAGTTGCCTACTTTGGTCTATTACGTTTACACAATCTCGTTGTAAAATCGGAATTTAATCCTTCATTGGACTTGCGTCGAATAGATCTTACACCAGCCCCCTTTGGATATAAAGTGGTTTTTCGTACTTCTAAAACAGTACAATTTCGGGAAAGAGATCAAATAGTTTTTCTTCCCAGGCTACCTGGTCACCCACTTTGCCCTGTGACCCCTTTGCAAACTATGCTTACTTTCCAACCACAGGCAGATGTGTTCGGACCCCTCTTTACCACTCAGTGTGGTGCTCCTTTTAAATATGCATTTTTTTGGCCAGGCTATTCCTCAAGTTAGCAGGAATAACTAACCACAGACTTTCGGGTCACTCATTTCGCAGAGGAGGAGCAAACTGGCTCCACCACTTGGGTTTTGATGACTCCGCCATTAAAGACATAGGCTTTTGGTCTAGTGATTGTTTTAAACGCTATTTGGACCCAAAAACTGACAAGCATGTGCACATCATGACGCAATTTGGTATTGCACTCCCGAATTCCCTATAAGGCCGTAAGCCGCATTTTTATTAATTTATCTAATTATCTGTAGTTAATTCACATCATTATCTTTATAATCTTATATATATATATATCAACTTATTTCTCATATTGACTATTGGATCTGGGGTTTGTAGCTCAAACTTACACTTTTATTTAGTTTAGTTTAATCATATTAATTTATTAATTAAGTTTTATAATTTGTGTTTGTTTTGATTGTATTAATAAATTTTGTCCCACCTTCATTTCTCGATTATTGAGAAGTGAGAATTTAAAATATACATGTATATAATATTAAATATATTATTCAAAGAAATAGCACAAGATTGAAATAATCATAATTTTATTTGGCGAGAATATGGCATGGTGAAATAATATTGAAATAAACAATTAATTCCTTCCTTCCTATACTCCTTCCTTCCTTCCTTCCTTCCAAGTTAATAAACTAATTCCTTCCAATCCAAATTGATCACCGCAAATGGCAGATCAGCTAATTGACCTTGAAAACGGCAAGGCCTAGACAAAGCAAAATTATTAACGTTTAATGACCCAATATCATTTCCACCACAATATAGGACGAGCATATCCGGTGAGTTCTCAATACTGAGCAAATATTTGATTTTTCGTTTCAAATTTAAAAAGAGAAACCCACCATAGCCTTGCAACCAAAGCCTTATACCACGACCTAAATTTTGGCCACCAGGTCTGCTCCGAGCATGAAAAGCAGCCCATTTAACAATCGATGAGCCAACAACCCAAACTGTACTCAATTGAGATTCTGTAATTTATATGTGCATTGACGGTGTGCAATTATTAAATTCTTATGTTGATATGCTGAAGACTTCCATCTTCCTGCGGCCTGAATATTTTCCATGCTGCATCCAGCAAGTGCAGCCGAAGTGCCTTTTTCAAAACAGCTGTGAATTGTGAGCGTGTTAAAGGTAAACCATTATAATGACAAAAAAATGGCCCAGTAACTGATGGTCTATCGTTTATAAAATTTCCGATGTGCATCACAGGACAAACACTTCCTCCTGTCTCTTGAATAGAAATTTTAGACCCTTGTCCAAACTGATTGTTTTTAGAATATCTTAATATTAATATTAATTTCTTATGAAGTTTGTATTGTTGAATTATTATGTCGTCAAAACTTTATCTTGAGAACTGATATCTGAGTATGTAATTTCACCTAATCATAAATATCCAAAAAAGGCCAAAGTATAAGCAGCCCTAAGGAGTTTCAATTCATATTCATTTTTGCATATTGCTGGTAGTACTGTTATTGGTTTATGTAACAAAGGGAGGCGTGTGTCCTGTTTGTGTTTCAATCTTTTCATGCCGATTAAGAGTTTTGATATAATGAAGTTTTTGGTGGTGTCAGTATGATTTTGGATTTTGAATTGAAAGCTAATAGCGGCTGTGTACAACAACAGATTGTACCGAGCAATTCTTAAGACCAGAAACATTAGAGTGTAGTGGTACACATAGTCCGAACTTATCGATCAGTGACGAGGAATCGATTGCATCAAATTCTTCACTATCAAATCGCAAAAACTCTGTGTTTCAAACGCCTTCATTAAAACATGGTCTTCTTAACCAATTGAGCCGTGTGGGACGACGGCGGTTAGGAAGTTCTGAATACAAACATTTTTTTAGTTTAACAGAGGTATCTAATATTGATGAAGGTAATAGAGATATCAAGGTGGGGTCCATGTCAGCTGTAATGTAAGGAACATTCAAGACAACCTACTGCTTTACCAGTTCAAAACACCTATAGCTTTTAGAAGAAAAATCATAAGTCAGACTCTCCTTCAGTGAAAACAAACACTAGTTTAGGACGTGACTACCTCTACTAGGCAACTGAATGTTATTTTTAAATGTATTGTATTATACAATGCGAGTATCCCTTGAAATACACAGTCCCCATCAGTTACAGACAATTTATGTTTTAAAGTCTAAAACAACATCATGGATATGAACTACAATCGTTCATGTCACTGTGTTTTAATGATATATCACTTCACAGTGTTCTGATTAATATTTAATTCAATTTAGTGTCTTAATTAGTATTCATTTCACAGTGTTAAAATTGAATTTTTAATTGACTGTCATTAATGGATTTTTTATATCACTGTATTCTATTCACGGTGCTCTGATTGATATATTATAATAATAATAATAACATATTTATTCAGTAGAAAATGCCACCAGCCCATAGTACAAATTCACAATATGCAATATTATAGTAACAAAATATATAACAGTATGTACAAAAAATATATCCAACATAATAAATATTCATACATCATAATCATTTGGTAAACATCTATCATAAATTATAGTTTTACCATAGTTCTTTTCCGTAAAATATATGCACGGTAAACAAAAGTTGCTAAATTTTCAATGCTGTTACTATTAACATGAGACATTACATTTTCAAAAATTAATTTAACATCGTATTTACACAAGGCAATAGTGGGCAATAATTCTTTCCTCAAACCATCATATAAAGGACATTCTAACAAAACATGAATTTCATCTTCAATAATATTTACATTTCTTGTACTACAATATTTACATACTCTTTCGGGTTTAGGGATATTCTGCCATCTTCCAGTTTCTACAGATAAATCATTGTTAGAACACCTGAATCGAGTTAGTGCAACTCTATGTTTATAATTATGTATATTTCAATAACTTTCAAATTCTAATGATTTCTTAAATAAACAATAGTTTTCAAGTTTTGAGTTGAGATGGATGTCAATTGACCATTCTTGACGACAACAATCTTTAATTCTTTGTTTAAATTCCGACATGAATGTCGTTACACTGATAACACCCTGCCTGTCCCAAACATATCCAAAACCGTAATCGTGTAATATGTTTCTGATATGAGATGCCCAGTTAACTCTCCCTGCTTCATGCAAACTCAGCAGCATATTATACGCCGCTTTAGGGTATCTATGACATGGTAAGCTTAGTAATTTTAACCAATATTGAACACAGTTACATATATATATTACATATAATGGGAATCTCCCAACTTCTCCATAAAGAGCACAATTACTTGTTGTGGAACCTACATGCAGTATAGACTTAATGAATTTGAGCTGCAGTGCCTCAATAGAGTCTATGGGTTTAAAGCCCCATATAGGAGAACCATAACACAAAATTGGCACAATCATACGATCAAATAAAAATAAGGAATCGTTGACACTTATATTACATTTATTAATAAAACATAACAACATGTTTGAGGCTTTACAAGCCTGTGAAACCAAAGTATCCGTTGCTAGTGTCCAGCATAGCTTGGGAGTAAAAAATATACCTAAATACTTATAATGATTAACAATATCAATTTGCTTTCCATCTAAATACCATCGTTCATAGTTCTTTATTATCCCCCCACGTATAAAAACAATTACTTTGTTTTTTTTAAGGTTAATTTTCATACCATAAGTTTGACAAAAGGTTTGTATACAGTTAATTTGTGCCTGTAATCTGGCGACTGTATCAGCTACAGCTGCAATGTCATCTGCATATAACAAAGCTACAATATTATTGATTTCGGGATTTACAAATATACCCTGACGTTCATGCAACCTGTCTATAAGCTCATTTAAAAACAAAGTGAATAATAGTGGACTCATCATGTAGCCTTGCCTGGTGCCAATTGTACAATTAAAGTAATCAGTAATGAGAGTTTTATTAGTTTGCACACATGATTTTAAATTGCTATACATTGATTGAATCACTTTAAAAACATTACCTCGAATTCCATTTTTTAATAGCATATATTGATTTAAGTGATGCTGAATTCCATCATATGCGGTACTAAAATCGACATAAATTAAATAAAATCTGCCTTTAGCTTTTATTAAATATTTCTGAATAAGGGCCTGTAATGTGAATATCTGATCGACTGTGCTGTACCTCTTTCTATACCCTCATTAAAATCAGTTGAACGAGACGGTCATAATCTTATGAGCTGCGGTATTCAGTCAAGCGTGGTAACGCAACTTTAAATTTTTTCACTACCATAGTCCAGGAAATCAACTATATTATAGTCTAATAGTAAACATGGAACCTGATATTGCAGTGTGGAGAGCCCAGATTGGATATTATACCCATCGGAGTAAGAGTAAGACAGAATTTATTCGTTTAAATAGTTTGACTTTTTCAGTGTTTCTGGTTATAAACGTTCTTATACTACTTTCCGGGGATGTGGAAACGAATCCAGGGCCTACAAACACCAGACAAGGACTGCTTTCAAATACTGGTAATATTGTTGATCCGGCAGGCAACGTAGGGCTGACTAGTTTAGCTGAAATGATCGAAAATTTAAGGAAAGAAATTTCAGAATTGCGAGTCGAGGTAAGAGATATGAATATTAAAGATGAAGTTATTCAACTCAGAACTGACATTAGAGATATACAAAGTGACAATACAAAGCTTCGATTAAAGTTGGATGCCACAGAAAATAGATTAAGACAGAAAAATTTGATTTTTTATGGTATTGGTGAAAAATTAGAGGGAATCGAAAATTGGCAGGATAGTGAAAAATTAATCAGGCGTGTAATCTCCAATGACTTGAAAATTGAGGGTGCGAATGATGATAGTTCAGTCGGTATCGATCGAGTGTATAGAATAGGGAGAAAACAGGTCAACGCCAGAAGGCCAAGGCCGATTATTGTTACGTTTGATCGATTAAAAACAAGAGACTTAGTTTTAGATTCAGACAGAAAATCGCTCAGAGACTCGGACATTAGTATATCAGAAGATTATAGTGAGCGTGTTCGCAGTATTCGTAGAGGTCTCATCCCGCACCTTAAAGAAGCTCAGAAAGACAAAGAAAAAAAAATAAAACTCAGATATGATAAGCTGATCATTGACAAAAATGTGTTCACATACGATTTAAACAAAAAAGAACTTATCACAATTAACAAATAGCAACAACATAGGCCAAGTATTTCAAAGTCAATCAAAAATCAAAACATCAGTTTTTTATCTTGGAATATAGAAGGCCTTCAGAAAAAATTGTCCGACAATCCGGAAATCTATGAGATAATAAATCATTATGACATAGTCTGTTTAATAGAAACTTTTCAGAAATCAAACCAGGACTTCGAAGGTGATTTCACGGATTATGTGCGCTTCGAAAATATGCGAATATGTGATTATCGGAAGGCATCGGGTGGAGTTATTGTGCTTGTTAAAAAACACCTTAAAGATTATGTAACCCGTGTACTTCAGATTGACAATTATGAAGAAATAATATGGCTTCGATTTAAGACTTCATCTCTTGGATTAAAAAAAGACCTGGTTGTCGGTTG